TGATAAGTCTCTAAAAAAGTGTTTCCTTCAATTTATAAAAATGTTTTCATTGGATGTACGTGATTTTGGCATGTCCCACACACTGCTCTGCTAACTACAGTGTGTGTAATAAGTGGTTAAATGATACTAAATCAAAAAAATGTTTTACATGGTTTTACTGTCCACAATAAGTTATTTGATAAAACAAGTACTTTTGATCATGTATATTGTATTTTCATAATCATATTGAACCATTTTGCATGTGTCCCTGAAATTACTGTCCACCCTGTCATTATGGGGTAACTGCCCCTTTAAGAAACCCACTGATGTTTTCAGTGACATCACTACGAGCATTTTGTCTTTCTTCAATGAAGGCTGAAGCAGTGTCTAGTTGCAGAGTAAGTATTTACACTTATGTTTCATAATTTTCATCATATTATGTGTGTAGTTGGATGTTGTCAAGCTTAACATGTCCACTCTGTCATAGTGAAATATCAATTGATAGAAAAACCTATCAGAACTTTTAAATATATTTGTAAAACAGTACACAGTCAGCTTGCTAACTGTAGTATGTTGCTAAGTGAAGGTCCACCATGTGCTCATTAAATGCTAACATTAGCCAAAAATGTCCACCCTGTCATTGTCCACCCTGTCAGCAAGCCTTCCATGACAGGGTGGACATGGTTCATGACAGGAAGGACATGTGCATAGTTTAGGCCACATACTGATAATGTTACACATATTACAACAGCTATTACACACATTTTATAACAGTACATGCTATACATAGTAAGAATGGACAATATGGACATTTTTTTTGGCGATATCGGTATCAGCAAACCTAGTTTGATAATGCAAGCCTAGTTTACCGGGACTGCCAATTAAAGTGTGTAAGGGAACATTTTGAATCGTCTTTTTCAAGGAATGAGATCAAAAGGAGCTGAGATAGCAAGGAGATATCGGGAACGTCGTGATGCTGACCCAGACAGAAGAAGAAAGTACCTTGAGAAAGAAAGGGTCAAATGGAAAAAAGACAGAGAGACTGGAAAGAAGAAGGGTGTCAATGAGCTCAGTGAGAGAGAGAAGAGGGCAAAAAGAAAGAAATGGAGAGAGGCAAAAAGTCAAGCCAGAGCCAGAAACAGGGCCAGTGCTTTGCTACAGTCAGAGACACCACCCAACTCCCCTGCTGAAACTCCTGAAAATCAGCATGAGCCAGGGCCCTCCAGGTTAGATCATTGGAAGTTTAGCTGATGAGACTTATTAGAAAGTTTAGATTTATTTGAAGGACAATTATCAACTGTTTATGTCCCCATAAAATGACATATTGATAACTAACTTGCTAAAAAAAATCCTTACAAATATTTTGTGTTTCAGGCAACGGCGTCAAGGGGAAAGCATTCGAAGGAGTTCGAAGAGAAAACTGAAAAAACAGATCGAAATATTAGAGGCACAGCTCACAAAAGAGAAAAGTAAAACTGAGAAATATAAGAAGAGGTACTATCGGGCCAAGAAAGAAAGTGCGTCCAAATCACCACGTACAAAAATCAATGCTTTGTTGGCACATCAAAAAGTGAATTCACCCATCAAAAGAGCTCTTCTTTTCCATACATCCCTGATTGAAGATATTAGAAGAAAATATGAACATGCAAAAACAAACCGAGAGAAGCAGCTGATAGCAAAAGTGGTCAGTGGAAACATTCTTAAGAAGTATAAGCTCCAAAAGCATGCCCAGACTGCTTTTGGCTACTCTAAGAAGAGAGCAAAGTATCCTGTGGATCTGACCTACCGTGGGAGGAGGTGCTTCAGTCGAAATGAGATTAGGAAGAACGTTACATCATTTTTTCTTCGAGATGATGTTAGTCGAATGTCAACTGGCCGCAAACAAACAGTCACACGGCTGAAGAAAAAAATGCAAAAGAGGTTGCTTACTGATACAATGAAGAACTTGCATAGGAGGTTTCTCTCTGAGCACATTGGCCAAATGTCATACACCTCCTTTTGCCATCTCAGACCCTTTTGGGTGGTAACCCCTTCTTCCTCTGACCGTGACACATGTCTCTGCAAAAAACATGAGAACTTGCAATTCATTGCCAATGCCTTGCAGAGCCAAGGGTTACTGTCCTTAAGAAATATTGAGGAAATGTCTGAAGCAACCATGTGTGACCCGAAAGCCAAGGTCTGTGCTTATGGTGAGTGCAGTGAATGCCTCCTAACTTGTCACCCGATGCTGAAAACCCCTGGGGAAGAGAACATTCGTTTATCTCAGTGGATGACAGAGAAGATCAAGAAGGATGAGAAGGTGTCAACAATAACAGTGAAAAGGGTGATAACAACAACAGAGCATTAGCTTAACACAGATTTCCAGGAGAGGCTCCTCTTGCATATAGATTTTAGCGAAAATTACTCATGTAAGTACAGCGAAGAAATACAATCTGTGCATTTTGGAGGCTCACACAAGCAGGCCAGTCTGCACACTGGAGTGCTCTACACCACTGGTGAACAAGCGCCACACACCTTCTGCTCCATATCACCCTCCAGAAGACACGACCCTGTGGCCATCTGGGCCCACCTTGATCCAGTTCTGAAGATAGTGAGAGAACGACACCCTCAAGTCAGCACACTTCATTTTTTCAGCGATGGGCCTGCAACGCAGTATCGACAAAAGGGAAATTTCTTCTACCTCTCAACGGAACCCTACAAGTATGGCTTCAAAAAAATAACGTGGAATTTCTTTGAGGCTAATCATGGGAAGGGGGCACCAGACGGTGTGGGTGGGGCCCTCAAGAGGTCAGCAGACCGGATTGTAGCCCATGGAGGAGACATTCCTGATGCCCAGAGCTTGTATAACAAGCTGAAAAGCCTGGACACATCTGTCGAGCTGTTCTTCATCCCAGAGAGGGATATTGAATCAAAGCCTGAGGTACCTGCAATAGCTGCCATAAAAGGCACTATGAGAATCCACCAAGCTATCAGTCTGACACCCGGCCAAATGAAATACAGAGACATTTCATGTCTGTGTAAAAGGGAGGAAGGTGTTTTGGACTGCCCCTGCTTTAACCTTCAAGAGGTCACTCTAGCTAATGTTCCTGTTTCATCTGACAAGTCCCCAGCATGTGGAAAGACACCAGATAATCCTAGGAGACCAGAAATGATTGAGGTAAAGCACATTGGAGAGTGGTGCGTCGTTAATTATGACAATGAAGCATACCCAGGTATCATCATGGATGCAGAAGGGCACAGAGTGAAAGTTAAGTGTATGCAACGCCATGGCATAAACAAGTTCAAATGGCCAAGTCTTCGGGACGACATCTGTTGGTACCATGACTTGCAGGTACTTTGCCTAATACCAGAACCACAGGCTCTGAACAAGCGCTCTGTACAGATTGAAGTGTCTGCATGGAAGTATGTGGAACAGCAACTGCAGAACTGAGCCATGTCTCTGCAGAAAGGGAGAGACTGTTTGGAGATGCGTCCAAATGATCTTTCTGTAATATTCTGTTTTTTCAAATCAACTGTTCTCCACTTAAAAAACATTTTTCTTCTTGTTCTACAGTTGAATATTTGACTTTCACTGTGCAGAATGATGTACAGAATTTAACGCTAGAAGGCCACATTAATGTCTCATTTTGGGCATCTTTATTCAGTGGCTGCATGCAGGTAGAGTGGATCAAAAACAGTCTGTTCAACTTGTAATTTCCCCCTACATGGGAAAAGGCATTTTTTACATCATTTTCTTGCCTTGTTCCTTGCATTTATGAGGCCATTCAATGACATTTCACAACGTGTCCACCCTGTCATGCCCAGGGTCCACCCTGTCATGTCACTGTCCACCCTGTTATTTTCATGTTCTATGAAAATAAACAAATTATTTTCACAAGTTAGCAAAATCTTTTGTGTGATTCCTTTATAAACAAATGAGGGCCAAATAGTATTGTTTGAAAGTTTGACCAGATATCTGTTTTGTTAGATTTTATTTAGAAAAGAAAGTGCAACTCTCGCAGATTTTATAGAGAAACAAATAGTTTGCCATAATTTCATTATTATCCAAATACTTTTCCCATAAACTAAAATATATTGTTGAGAAAGTGACTAAATAGTTTTCTGAAAATGTACGTTTTATAATCACTATGTAATTACAATGTATTTATTCTGCTTTGAAATTGTCCATGACAGGGTGGACATATTTTGCTGTTTGCATGTAAATTGTCTGCTTGCAGTTAATTTATAAAAAGTGTGGGAGCTTGACCAATATGCATTTCTAACAGCATAACATATACTTAATACAATGAATATGAAGTTCAATGGAAAATCTCAGCTTTTTGGGGGGGAAATGGGGAAGTCTCAAAGGCACCTTATGGTGATATTGACCCATATACTCTGAGACTACATGAAAGGGATTTGGTTGTACTCCAGCCGCAAATCCATAAACACCTGTTTATCTCTCGGTCAACAGTCATGCACGAGCGCGCACACACACACGCACTTACGCACTCGTGTACACACACACGCGCGCACACATGCTAGCACGCACACACACGTACACACACACACACAGTGTTGCTCAGAGTCCAGTACAACAGTACATACACGTTTTGAGGACAGAAAGGGGCTAGAGGAACAAGGCTCCTCCCTGCGAGTTTGTGAAAACATTCCAGCAACGTGAGCGAGCCAGAGAGTTTGAAACCCAAGAACCTGGCCCTTCTCTCGCTCTCTCTCTCCTCTCTCTCTCTCTCTCTCTCTCTCTCTCTCTCTCTCTCTCTCTCTCTCTCTCTCTCTCTCTCTCTCTCTCTCTCTCTCTCTCTCTCTCTCTCTCTCTCTCTCTCTCTCTCTCTCTCTATCTGTCCCACACCTCCACACACACACACACTCCCACACACACTCCCACACACAGGGACACACACAGGCTTACACACACACACACACACACACACTTCTACACACAGTTATTCACGAACACTCACACTCTGTAGGAAACCAACCATAAGAAGACCACAAGGAGACCCAACCAGACCAAGGAAGGAGGGAGACCGGACCAGACCAGACAGAAGGAAGTATTTTTGTTACCTGGACTGACGGACAGGACGCCCAGACTGTCCCTTGGATCTATCAACCATGACAACGGTTGTCCCCTTCCTCCTCTCCTTAGCCTTAGTCCTCACCAACGGTCAGTATTACTACCAGGGTCTCATGGATTATCTGGAGAACAGATTCCTTGCCATTGAGGTAAGAGACAAACTCCTAAACAACCATTTTACACTGCACAACTCCACCTAAAGTGGTGCAGGAAAAGTTATAGGCAAGGAACAAGAATCAAATCAATGACACAACTATGGTGAATCAAGTTTTATTTTTGAATGCTAGTGAGACAACATTTTTCTGAACGAACAGTAAACAACAGTTAGAGTGAAATCAAGGACTAAAAATCAAGGTCATGTGTTGGGCTTTAGCTCTGACATTCTGCAAAACTTTACTTTGCACTCAGTGTCTGCCTGCAAGGTTTCTTTTCATATCTTAATGTGTTGACTAAAGCAATCCAATTAATACAATCTCTGTTCGACTCATCAACTTCTCTGGCTAAGGCCCTTAGAGAATATCAGTGGCTGTGAGCTGTCGTATCTGTGCCTGAGTACTTATATTCTCATTGCCCTTCTCAGAATACACACTAAGCAGTGTGAGACTCTTCATTAGGATCAAAGATAACAACACATTGATAATGAAAACAATAGGAACATTTGCAGAAATTACTGACAAAAAACAATAATGACGAAATCATTTTCTTTAGAATAAGCGAGAACATGTATCAACAAAAGTGTGCCTTGCAATTTCTCTAGGCCAAATTAAAATGCTGTCTGAGGCACTGTACAGTATTTATTTTGTCAAATATGATATGCCAGGTTTGTGGGAGTGTGTTCTACTCCTCATATATTGCAGCTATTCTATGATCTGTCTTCAATGATTATGCCAAGTTTGCTTACATTATATGCTGAGTGTGATGAAGTGTCCAAGAAGTGGAATAAATATGCAGCTCCATGCTTTCTGCTGTAGGACTACAGTATTATTAGCTACAGTAATCAAGTCATTTCTATGAAATGTAATTTAAATGGTAATGTTTCCATTAAAAGTTCATGCACCAATCTATCCATTCATTATGACCATGTAATGTAACTTGTTAGTTTCCTCTTTTGAGGCATTATCTAATATAGCACTCCAAAAATTGGGAAAATAGTGTGAGAATACAAATAACATTTGCTCGTTATTACTTTTCATTCTCAATCTCTCTCGATTACATGATCCATTGCCGTAACCGTACTCTACGAGGGTGTCTGAAGGGGAGTGGGATATGCAAAAAACGCATTTCCATTTCACACCACACACTTGTACAGGTTACACACTTATACAGTATAAGCTACAGTATATATAAGCACCCCCTATTTGACCTTTTGTCAATCTTACGATGAGTCAACCTCTATTGTTCACTGCCACTGAACCAGATCACTGAACAACATTGTGATAATAAACAAAACGTATTTCTTCTTGTGAGGTTTTGATGGTGGAATTGATGTTGATGGGTGCTGATACTTTTTTCCACAGTACATGATCATGAGGAACCTGGTTTGACCCAGGTTCAAACACCAACACCTGATACAGTTTTCTCAGAACTCTGCCCATGGTGTTGTCCTTGTGAATAAGACGTGTGTGATTGGAATGAACTAGAGTCTGATACTAGGACAATTACATTCACCCAACATTACAGTAGTGCTTAATCATGGGTCACACACCAAATCAACGTCCTTGATAACACATTATGTTCCCCCAGGATCGTATGCTCATATGGCACGAGCAGTCTAACCGCTACAACACTGAGCTGCGGGACTTCAAGAAGCAGACTGCCGAGTTTATAAAGGGAATAAACCAGGACCATGGTACCCTGCGCCAAGACCTGGAGGGGACAGGGGTACGAGTGGACCGCGTGGAGAGAGAGATGGACTACATCGAAACCCAAAACCCCGCTAGGCCCTGTGTGAACCAGGCAGACAGAATGGTGGATGTGGACCTGGAGGTGAAGGAGAGGAAGAAAGGGGGAGAGGAGGAAGATGGGTACTCCAGAGTCTTGGGTGAGTAGAGAGAGGAGCAGTGTATGGGGAGTTGGGGGAGTGTGAGGCGTAGAGCTCTGACTTCCTGTACAGGATGTCTGCCTTTGATCTAGTGCCTTCGTTTCCCTGCCTGACAGAGACTTGGCTATGGAGCATGGTTACAGTATTTTTAGTCTTGCACCAAGCTCTTTACCACTCTTGGCAGTTGGTGTCCTCCCCTGAAAACCCATTCCACAGGAAAATAGGCAACAAACACAGATTTGTTTCAAGTCATGTTTTTGCAATTTAGAGCTACATTTTGAATCAGTAGGTAGGCTAGTCATAAATTTAATTTTCGTAGAGAGTTATCGCTAGTTGGCTATGAGTCATTTATTTCAGGGGGGAACCAGTCTCCTATTTGTACCGCATGGACACGGGTAGTCTGTCTTTACACGGGTAGTCTGTCTTTACTACCTACAACGTGACTCACAGCGGGTTGGTACAAATAATGTTGTGATTCAAAGTTCTATTTCACAGACAGTAGGTTCATTTAGTCAACTGCATAACGTCATGTAAAACACAGAGCAAACAGACCTCTCACTAAGAGTTTCAGCATCTGCATAACCCTCCTCAGTGATCACGGGGTTCAGTAAGACATTAACATAACAAAAAAGGTTTATAAAAGGTTTAGAAGTAGTTTATAAACCATTAATTATTAGTTTATAAATCTCAAATAAACAGTTTTTACCAGGAGCTCTTACTCTACCTGAAAGGGGGAACCAGTTGCAATACTTTGAAAGTCCATATTCAAGGAGTGTTCCATGCATACAGAACAGTACCCCCCCCCCCCCCCCCCCATTGTCAACGATTTAGACTCACTCTATCCAGATTGAGAGGAAGTCTCTTTGTTGTCTTGAGAGCTCCAATTTACTTTTTATCAGCAAAAGGCTCTTGAAAGAAAATACCACTTTACTATACTTCAGCATATCTGTGCGTCACTCATCTTTCCCAATTTCCATAGCACCATGTAGCTGTTTCTTCCACTTCCCTTTGATTGTGTTAAGTTCATTTTAATTTGGACTGCATTGGAATAGCCTGCTGCAGCCTTCGGGGTAAATTATGTGCCCTGCATGTTGAAGTAGACATCAAAACATGTCTCAGGTGGGCAAGGACATTGCAGAGGCATGCTAATGCAACAGGAGAAGGAAATGTGAACTGGAAGCCTGGATGCTAACCAACTTGGCTTCAGAGCATTTAGTATTATTCTGAAAGTAAATCCGAGACACTCCATTTAGAATGATATGTAATGTTTCGTATGGTATGTATTCATTTTTGAATGTACATCACCCGTTTCGTATGATATGTTACGAAATACAATTTGTATTATATGTTACGAATTTGCAAAACGTACAATACTATATGTTACGAATTTGCAAAACATATGATATTTAACTAATTCTAGCTAGGTGGCTAATGTTAGCTAGCTGGCTAGGGGTTAGGGTTAAGATTAGGGTTAAGTTTAGGAGTTAGGTTAAAGGGTTAAGGTTAGGGTTAGGGTTAGGGGAAGGGTTAGCTAAATGGGTTAAGGTTAGGGTTAGGGGAAGGGTTAGCTAATATGCTAAGTAGTTGCAAAGTAGCTAAGAAGTAGTAAGTAGTTGAAAAGTTGCTAAAATTGTCCGTGATGAGATTCGAACTTGAAACCTTTGGGTTGCTAGATGTTCGCGTTAAAAGTAACCATATGTCTTATGTAGCCATACCAAACGTAACATATCATACTAATTTGAGTGTCCCGGATTTACATTTACTATGTTTCATCTAGTCTATGAGACCAGATTGACCAGCCTAGAACTCCTCTTTGATTTTCAAAACTACAAATAGACCATTAACATTTATAATAGTAATATCTTATCTGTTATAATAATGATCTGTTGTCATTTTATACAGTATACTGTATACAAACGTCTTAATAATTACCCGATTTTTCATTACATCTGACAATGTTATTATGACCACTCATGAAAATGGCTTTTCACAATACCATCTCCATTTCTCTATCAACAGATTGTATGGACATCATCTCCAGCATCAGAGCCATGAAGATCCTGAAGAGGATGGGCAGCCCCAAAGGCATTTGGACTAAAGACGCCAGGTCCTCTAAGGTCTACATCTTCAACGGCACGGCAGAGGACACCCTGTACCAGTTCAGTTCTGTTCTAGACTTCTCAGCCTCCCCAGGAGTGGCCAACAGCAGGCCCATCAGACTGCCCTCTCTGTGGAGTGGCACCGGTGCTGCTGTCTATAACGGCTATGCCTACTACGTGATGGAGGGGGCCGATGAGCTCCAGGTGATTAAGTATGACCTGGCAAATGGCACGGTGACAGACAGTGCTGTGTTCCCAGTGGAAGTGGCAGACCATAGACCCGTCTACAGCCTCAACCCAGAGACTGCCGTGGACCTGGCTGCCGATGAGGAAGGCCTCTGGGCCCTGTACACTACCAGGGAAAGTGAGTCCATCAACCTGGCTAAGATGGACCCAGACAGCCTGGATATCGAGCAGATGTGGGATACACAGTGTCCCCGGGAGAATGCGGAGGCAGCCTTCGTGGTCTGTGGGACGGTCTATGTGGTCTACAACACCAGGGTGCCTAGTCGCTCTCGTGTTCAGTGTGTGTTTGACGTGAACGATATGGTGACCAGTGAGGAGGCTCCGCTACTGTATTTCCCCAGGAGGTATGGAGTCCACGCCAGCCTTAAGTACAACCCTCAGGAGAAACAGATCTATGCTTGGGATGATGGCTACCAGATCCTTTACAAACTGTCCATGAAGAGGAAGCTAATGGTTTAAGTGGATGGACTAGTGGGCATTTTAGTCAAATTACATTTTAGTCCGAGAAATGGCCGGAAAACATTATAATATGAAGACTATCACTGGAGGCATACAGTGCCTAGCAAAAGTATTCATCCCCCTTGCCGTTTTTCCTATTTTGTTGCGTTACAACCTGTAATTTAAATTGATTTTTATTTGGATTTCATGTAATGGACATACACAAAATAGTCCAAATTGGTGAAGTGAAACGCAAAAAATAAATAACTTGTTTCAAAGAATTCTAAAATATAAATAACGGAAAGTGGTGCGTGCATATGTATTCACCCCCTTTGCTCTGAAGCCCCTAAATAAGATCTGGTGCAACCAATTACCTTCAGAAGTCACATAATTAGTTAAATAAAGTCCACTTGTGTGCAATCTAAGTGTCACATGATCTGTCACATGATCTCAGTTTATATACACCTGTTCTGAAAGGCCCCAGAGTCTGCCACACCACTAAGCAAGGGGCACCACCAAGCAAGCAGCACCATGAAGACCAAGGAGCTCTCCAAACAGGTCAGGGACAAAGTTGTGGAGAAGTACAGATCAGGGTTGGGTTATAAAAAATTATCAGAAACTTTGAACATCCCACGGAGCACCATTAAATCCATCATAAAAAAATGGAAAGAATATGGCACCACAACAAACCTGCCAAGAGAGGGCCGCCCACCAAAACTCACAGACCAGGCAAGGAGGGCATTAATCAGAGAGGGAACAAAGAGACCAAAGATAACCCTGAAGGAGCTGCAAAGCTCCACAGCGGAAATTGGAGTATCTGTCCATAGGACCACTTTAAGCCGTACACTCGACAGAGCTGGGCTTTACGGAAGAGTGGCCAGAAAAAATCCATTGCTTAAAGACAAAAATAAGCAAAGACGTTTGGTGTTCGCCAAAAGGCATGTGGGAGACTCCCCAAACATATGGAAGAAGGAACTCTGGTCAGATGAGACTAAAATTGAGATTTTGCCCATCAAGGAAAACGCTATGTCTGGTGCAAACCCAACACCTCTCATCACCCCGAGAACACCATCCCCACAGTGAAGCATGGTGGTGGCAGCATCATGCTGTGGGGATGTTTTTCATTGTCAGGGACTGGGAAATTGAAGAAATTATGTATGGCGCTAAATACAGGGAAATTCTTGAGGGAAACCTGTTTCAGTCTTCCAGAGATTTGAGACTGGGACGGAGGTTCACCTTCCAGCAGGACAATGACCCTAAGCATACTGCTAAAGCAACACTCGAGTGGTTTAAGGGGAAACATTTAAATGTCTTGGAAAGGCCTAGTCAAAGCCCAACCTCAATCCAATTGAGAATCTGTGGTATGACTTAAAGATTGCTGTACACCAGCGGAACCCATCCAACTTGAAGGAGCTGGAGCAGTTTTGCCTTGAAGAATGGGCAAAAATCCCAATGGCTAGATGTGCCAAGCTTTTAGAGACATACCCCAAGAGACTTGCAGCTGTAATTGCTGCAAAAGGTGGCTTTACAAAGTATTGACTTTGGGGGGGGTGAATAGTTATGCACGCTCAAGTCTTATTTCTTGTTTGTTTCACACCAAAAAATATTTTTTAAATATCAATTTTAATTCCAGGTTGTAAGGCAACAAAATAGGAAAAATGCCAAGGGGGGTGAATACTTTCGCAAGCCACTGTAGATTCGTTCTTTGGTACCACTCACCCCACTGTCCATACGGTATATTGTCTCTACAGTAAAATGTGCCTCTGTATTTTTAACTTGAAATAATGCATTGAATTACTGTACTGTAGGTGCCCGTTATCAAACATATTATTGCTATCCCAGTTTGATATAAAGTTTATGTTGAATGGAGCTCTGATTTAGATTGGAATTGTAATATGGCTGCAACAACTGGATTTATTAGGGGCAGAGATCAGAAACTGTGTATTGAATGCCTTGATGGAATATATGCCCCAGCTCTCATCATGACTTAATTCGGCTATTTGCATTCCACTTGTTTTAGTTATGGCAATTTACTCTTCCCTGCTGCTTGTTCCTTTGTTGTTCACTTTGAGATACGTAGTCGTGAAAATGACAGCCTCCGGCTAAATGATAAATTCATCTGCACAATTAGAGAAAAATATAATGTCACAAATACTTTCCAGATGAGAAATCTAACATAAATACAAAAATATATATGATGTGTGCCACCATAATTCATCATAATTCATCATAAATCTTTGAATGTAACTTTGCACCACCATAATTCATAACTTCTGTTTTCCGTTCTTGCAAAATAAATTAGAATTTAATAAAAATGTAAATACATCAACAGATAATTATTTTTTGTTCAGTTTATTACACATTGGACCTCATATTATGAGTCGTTAACGATTCAGGATTTAAAAGGAAACAAAAATAAATAAACCCTAACTGAACTTTTGCATTTGGCTTCAATTACAAGAACAGTTGTCAAAACAGTTATATTACAAGTACAAATCTTCAATACAAAATTGGAAAGTCAGTGCAATCCATGACGAATGGAAAGGACACAAGATCATATTGAGAAACACAACGATAATAATAATAGTAGACAACGGTCTTTAAAACAGTCCATAAACTGAGGCTAAATTGATATAACATGATATTATTACATACTATGGAAACAAACACACTAGTCTATATTGTCAGAACATAAGATCATCATCATCATTAAACACACTACTGAAACAGAGGAAGAACAAAAACTACAGTCAGTTATTTCATCAATTTTTATCAAATAGAAACAAACTTTGAGTCAAATATCAGGAGTCTAAAAGAAATGGCATACATCTAATCAGAAATGTAACCAACAAGTGTATACCTACTGTATATATGTGAGAAAACATAAAACCATCATTTTTAAAATAAACTGGAGTGAGTCAGATATGAGGAGTCTACCAGTAATGAAAGGAGGAATCTTATCAGAATTGTAACCAGTAAATATAGTATGCGAGGAACCTGAACAATCACATTGTGAAGAAAGACACAATAACGGTGTGAGGGAATCCAACAAGTGACTCATTGTATTGTGTCTCATAGACCTACCAACTGCTAATTAGAGAAAGGTCAATGACTCACTGCAAGACATTGGCCTGCGACTATCTCTTGGCTAGCTTCCCCCACACTATCTGTCTGTATCTCTGTCTCTCTGTTTTGTCTGCCTCCCATACTAAATGAGGTAAACACCTGCTCTCTCTAGGAGGAAGGAAATGGCCAAAACAGTGATCTAATGTGTGTATGTTAAATACATTTGTTCACTTTTACCATGCTTCTTCTGTATCCTCTCTGTTTGATTTATACCATCTTCAAACATGCTTCTGCTCCACAGCTGTGGTCAGGCGGAAGCCACATTGTCATCTGGATGGCCATTCCAGAATGTACTATCATTGAGTCACTATAACCTCTTTGATTAAAAAACAACTACTACTACCAAACCTCAGTGCCAAAGTTCTGTAGATAGAATGCATGGAGAAAGAGTTCAAACAACTACTTCTACAAAACCTCAGTGCCAAAGTTCTGTTGACAGAATGCATTAATTTAGAGGCTTCTGTTTAGGGCACTCAAGGGCTTAAATTAGAAGAAGGTGGATGCTACTTAAAAACGCTCCTTACATTCTGTAAACAACACCCACTTCCTGATACCCACAATACCAACCTGTTTCTCTATGTGCTTTCAAATATGTGCTTGCCAATTAGTAAAATAATCAAAACGCTGTCATGGTCAACATAAAACAACATTAATGAAGATTCCTGATTTCTATTACATCTTACATAACCCATATGGGTCAAACAAGAACCCTTCTAATCAAATTGGTATCTTTAATTTACAATCTGTAGAAACTATGAGAACAGAAAGGTTCAGAACTTTTGTGACACATCACAGCACAGTTGAAAAATATATGGCAAATAGAAATCAAAACTGGATGGTCTTCAGAGATAGATAGGAGGGGTTGAGGGTAGCTGAAGAATGGGACTAAAAACAAACAAAAGATAACTATTGTAAAATATACTGTGTTCGTAAAATGTATATAGTAAGTATAAGCTGAAAGTAGAAGCCTAAGTGTTGTTGTCCATTAGTTTACTCCAATTAGGGGAGGGGTGGTAGGGTTAGACACTACCACCACTACCAAAATATATATATGGGGGATTGGAAATGATACAGACAATTACATTGATGGAAAATAAATAAATACATTGGTAGCCCATGTTTGGTTGCACAAGATATTATTAAAAACTATTTGTAATCCCTGCTGTATTTTCTCTAATAATTGAAACAATACATTTACTACATAGCGCAGAATATAATAAGTTTCACTGGAAAGAAAACATCAATAATATATAACATATGCCATTTAGCAGACACTTTAATCCAAAGCGACTTACAGTCATGCATGCATACATTTTACGAATGGGTGGCCTGGGAATTTCAATGACTGACATTACTTTCATAATATTTGTTACAGAACAAATTATAGTCTACCTTTGCTTAAAACACATTTGGCACCAAAAACTATACACCAATCAGGTTGTTTTTTTTCGTCTCTTTGATACACATTTGGCTATTGCGATGACATCAATTAGGTTGTACTCATAGTATCACAATGTGAAAAGAAAGACTAAATAACCATTATAATCAAACCAATATTATTTTTACCTTTTTATATATCTATCCGATTTCCAGCAGTACAACCGTTAGACAAACAGTAGAAGAAGTAGCTACATGACTGCCTACATGTAAAAGCTGACTTATTGGATTTTGTTGAAGCATTGGGAATAGTGTTCAATAATGCAAAACATATGTTTGGATTCAGATCAAGCTCCTCAACAATATTCAATAAACTAGTCCTTGTATAAAGAGTAGATTCAAAGTCACCCCATTACAAATCACTCCAGTATCCATGGTGCCTCTGGCTCATGACAGAGAAGAAAATATCGAATTAATAGTTGATTTTTGGTCCATCGAGGGTCATATTCTCATATTCTGGAGAAGAGGTCTGGATGCTGCAGGATAAGGAAGACTACCAAAACACAACAATACTAGTTCTATACCTACTTTGTATTCTGGTGGGAAATACAAACTTTACCAGAGAGAGGACTGTGCTGTACAGTTCAAACCAACAGAAGACAATGAGAAGGTGCTGAAGAAGTGCAATACGTTCAGCTGAGAGAGGAAAACTATGGGGACAGGAGTAATGAGAATACACTTCGATGGAAGAGGTAAGAGCACCAAGACTATCTAGGAGGAAACGAAGAGAGAGGTAAGGGTGGTTTGGAGTCTGTGGGCTATTTAACTCTTTGTTGTTCCATAGAAAGACACTCAGGAGGTGCTATGCTCCAACATTGTTGCAATGTGCTCATATTGTGTGTTGCACATATTTGTTGATTCTATGAACCTCTATAAACTCGATGAACACTGTTTGCCTGGTTAAAACCACCCCTTTATGTTCTGTTCATTACTAATGAAAATGTAATGGTTTATGTCGAGAAGATATACAACATAGCTACTATTTTCAAAAGGGGTCGTTGCCTTGTTGGGCTTGGTTACTATGACAATTAATGTTTGGTGAAAGAACTACACATTTGATTGTGTCACAATGTTTTTTTTTTGTTACTGCCGCACAACAGGAGATAGTAAAGGGCAGAGGGCTTTAGATATTCCTTAGTTCCGTCCACTGTCCTTAATTTCCTATCTTACCCCATATCCTTCAGTTCTCTCTCTCTCTCTGGGAAACTTCAACTGCTTTCACAGTGTGATTTCAAAGTGGAGCCTCTCATCAAAGAGCTCTGCAGTGCTGAGCAGAAACTTCAGTGTGTTTAGACCAAGTCTCTGTGGGATCACTGTGATCACATTCCATTAGCCTCAACCCAAAGATAGATACACTGGAAAACAGCAGTCTGCTGTTCCACTCAGACAACAATCTTCCCCTTTGGGGACTCACTTGAAAAGCTCAGCTCAGGATAAAACCAAACCAAATCCCCCAAGTACTGGGTCTGACTCCAGATCAGTAATTCTAATGTTGATTTTTTTTAAACAATGTTACTTTCACAAACAACTTACGATGCTGATCCAGGATCAGGTCTTGGGACTGGGAGCACTCTGTGGCTACACTTGAGGAAGAGTGAAGACTGAGAGAGAGACTGAGTGGGGTTATGTTTCTCCTTAGGCTCAGGCAGACAGAACAGACAGGAAGTAGGATCAGTAGGAGAGATAGAAGAGCCCCAAACCAAACCTGGGCCGTTCCACTAGGGTCACATGTGGTTTTGCTCAGGGGCTAGCAGGACGCCTGGGGGAGGGACAGGAGCCCTGGCTGTCAAAACTGGCCGTCCGCGTTTTCCACTGCAGTACACAGACAGACACACACAGGCAGACACAGACACAGAAACACACACACACACACTTCAGTTAGAACGTAGATATTACACTGTTACAATATCTGACATTGACTTTATCCTACTATATACAATATTCATGTCTACCAGGGGCACAACTGTGGTTTTAGAAGTGGGGGGGACATAATTTATTATTATTTTTAAATTATTTTTATCCAGTCGGATAAATATTCCAAACAGCCTACCCGACCGCTCGGAGGCATCCGTATGGTCCTAAAGCACACCGTTGCCTCGTTTTGTATTACATTCTAATGATAAAACTGGGGGGGGACAAAAATGTCCCCCCCGTCCCCAGTGAAAGTTGCGCCCCTGATGTCTACACATTATTCTTCACACATTGCAACATGCTGTATGAACTAACCTCTTTCTCTGATTTCTTGGCCTCCAGTAGGGAGTGCCAGTGTGCAATGGGCTTGCGTGGGTACGCCAGCATCTCGTTCCAGTGGCCCTTGCCAAGCCCCTCAGCACTGCACCCAACACGGTTCACACCAATGATCTCATTGTGACCAACCCTGCAGGGGCCAGACAACACACACAACATCACACAACGTCAACACAACATTACAGCTAATCCTGCTCTTCAGACACACTACATTACAAAAATGCAGGGTTGATTTTATAGCTGCATTTGTATTACATGCAGTGGTGTAAATGGAGAAAAAAATTATTCTGGGAACCCACCAATGTAAAATCGTGGAATTCACCTTAAATAAACTAATTTGGCAAAATGATTTCACCCCATCTCCAACACTTATTACATACATTTTGTTATCAGAGGATACCGTTGCAAGATGTAAAGTGAAAGGGAGAGGTGAGGTGATAATTTCGCGGTTGTAGTTCATGTGAATAGAGCTGAGTCATCTGGGTGGTTAAAAGGATACATTTCCATATCTCTTTGAGAGATTATGTCTGAAATGTAAATGTGATGAAGAAAGGGTTCGTGCTCAACAACTGCAAATGATAATGGCATCAACAAAGTCCTCTCTGGATTGGCTCAGACCAATGGTGATGTTTGTTCTTCCTCATCATAATCCCTACATCCACAACATAATCCTGGATCAAAGGGATTGACTAGTAAACAAAACAAGGACAACCTGATACCCACAGTAGACTCGTTCTGCCAGTTAGCAGCACACACGTGTGCTAATAAAGACTAGCACCCCTGCACCTATTTACCCAGCCACGTTTGTTGATAAGGACTACCCTCAGAGCATCCCTTCAGCCAGCGAAGTGAATGTCCTGACTCCTGACCTTTTCTTTCTCTTTGTTGTGCCGTTTTTTATTTATTTTAAGACAATATGCAGAGTGCTCTATTCGAGGGGGCGTATTGTGCAAACTGCACAGATACAGAACATTCCTCTGAGAGAAGCGTCTGAGTTAAATGTTTTGACAATGCTTCAGTGGACGTAAAACTGAGTTAAATCAAACATAGTCTCTCTTGACAGACTTCCCACCAAGTAGCAGGACAGTATGCACGGCAGATTTGTATCTGGGTGCCAATATTTTCTTTCAACCTGTACATACAAGTCATAGTCCATGACTGAGATGTGCAGGCTGACGTGGTCCATGCTGTCTGGGGGGATGTCGAAGATGATGGCCTCGTTGTACGTGGGGTTCAGAGTGTTCTTCTTGATGGTCGTCTTCTTCTTTTTCAAACGCCTCCCGTCACAGATGAGAGACACTTTGACATAGGGATCTGCCAATGAGAGAAAGGAAAGGTATAAGGTGCTTATCATGATCTAAATTCTATATTCTATAGCTACATTATCTTGAGATTAATCTTGGAACCCAGAATCAAATTTCCTGCAAACAGTCTGTCACGAGAGACATCCTGAGAGAATAAGATGACAAGTTTGTCTTTACATGCTTGGATCTTAGTCTCTGTTAGTGTGATTTGCGATAGAGATAGTATACATCTACCCCTAGAACACTTGACATGCATTCATTGTCTCAGCATTTGAGAATAGAATGCTATTCTAATTAGGCCTACAGTGACCTCACCTTAACTCAAACACATCCATTTTGATGCAGCAGCTGCAGCGATCAATTTCATTTCCCATGTGCACTACCTAAACCTAAATATAACAATAACATCCTTGAAAATGTCTGGAATAATTCTCTGTACATTACATATTGATGAGTCAACACATCAAGTATTCAAAGGGGAGGAAGTGAAGGCATTTGACAGAGCGCTTTAATGGGATAAAGTGAAACATATCGTCGTGGTGAATACTGATTTCAATCTTCATCCGTCAGCTCCTATGATCCATTATACCAGTATATTAGTCAGATGTAAGCTGCCCTCGATACATACACAACAATAGAAGGAGGGCTTGCTTTGCAACCAAATATGCTTCAGGGTACCATTGATTAGCCATGGTTTACTGCACACAGATCCAGTTCTATTCAGCAACAACTGGGAGACATTTAAATCCTCTGAGGAGGGATGTTAAACTTGTCAAATGTAAATAAAGATGAGAGGAAAATAATAACATGCCTAATTTTGGTTTGAATAAACACTGCCGATTCATGACATTTAACTCACAGTGAATGTCACTTTAATTCCCAAGCAAACATATCTCCTCTAATGATATCTGGTTATTGATAATATATATGGAATATGGAACAGCAGACTGTTAGGCTGTGTCCCAAATGGCACCCTATTCCCTACATAGTGCACTACCTTTGAATAGAGCCCTATACAGTATACAGGGTATAGGGTGCCATTTGGGACGCAAACTTACATAACAATGAACACCGCCTGAAACCTCATAGAAATAAGCTGCTGCAGATGACATCTTCTTATTGCTATTGATGAATATGAATAGATACCAACATAACTAGAAGCAGTAGAGAGGACTTCCCTTTGTTTGCTGTTTTTATTTGACATTTTATGTGACTGTATCTATAATTTCATATGTAACAGCCAGGGTAGGGTGTATTTGTACTTTGAGTCATTACGACAAACAATGAGTAACACACATGCACGTAGACATGGATGCACGCTCGCACACACACACACATGCGCACACACACATACCTACCTGAGTATCCTGTGATATCCATGGCCTTGAGGTTCCTGCACTTGATGACGGTGAGAGTGAGTCGTCCTGCAGTGGGCAGGTAGCATAGTGAGAACATGATCTCTCCCAGGTCCACACTCTCCTGTTGGAACAAACAGAGAATAAAACTGATGTGACACACGCACAGCACAAGAAGGATTCCTTCAGGCCCTACTGACGCAAGGGCAAAAACACTGGGATGGAAATGGATTGTAAAGCCAATGTCATTCCAAAATCCCTCAAGAGCTGTATTTGTGTGAAGCCTGCAATCGCACACAGAACTGACTATCAGGCTAACGCTCAAGAAGTTATAGTGAAAAATCTGCAGGACAGTGACAAATGGGCAATCTATGGCCCTCCTGTGGAGTTAAGCATCTAAAGATATACAATATTGAAAATTACAGTGGGTTACAGGAAACAAAGCTAATGGGGAGGTAATGTGGAGACTGCAGTAATGTTCTCAAATCAGTTAGCTTAGGCATTGACCCCCTTGCCCTCTCTGTCTGAAGGCAATATTACCTGTTATTAATGCATCCTCTCTGTAAAAAAGTATTACTTTTCACGTCATCAGTGCAGCGTTGTAACCAAAGGGCAAGGGTTAAAGCGGTGGTTGGGTGTGGTGCGAAGGCACGGGCAAGGGCTGCAAGTGTCAATGTTATTGGGGAAAATGGACAAATCAGGGTTTGAGCCAGGATTAGGGTTCAGATTTAAGATATGGCTATGGCTCAGGTCAGATTGTTTTTGAGTTCTGAAGCAATACAACCACATCCCTTCAATTCCTATGAGTTTCTAGTCAGTCACTATCATTTATCACTATATCACCACAGGATGAAGCAGTGGAAACAGTAGGCCTACCTATACATTTCTATTATGTATCACAGACATTGATTCATCTCCCTCTAACCGGCCAATGATTAGTAAGCAATCCCTCCAGAAATAGTTTGTATGGATCAAACATGCTCTAAGACACTGCCCGATGTCAATCATTATTTGTCTCCTCCCTTCTCCCAGCCAGCCCCCTCTAGACTCTTTATCTTCCTAATGACAGTGGGTTGGTGTTATTGATGCATTCCCCCTTGATCTATTAACTGAGTAAAGCTGCCAGCTGGTACTCTTCTCCACACAACCCCCCTCCGCCCAGCTTTGGGGTTCTCAGCTCTATTCATTAGCCAGCAAAACATTTACATTTGTAAACAGTACTTTCATCCAGCCCAAGGCTCAGGCTCATGTTACAGGTAAATGCTCCTAAACCCCATATTAATGAAACAATTCATGAGAGATTTAGAACCCCCCTTGTCTCTGCATACTGCATACTTTATCATAATAATAAGCCATTTAGCAGACGCTTTTATCCAAAGCGACTTACAGTCATGCGTGCATAATTTTTTTTGTGTATGGGTGGTCCCGGGGATCGAACCCACTACCTTGGCATTACAAGCGCCGTGCTATACCAGCTGAGCTACAGAGGACCAGCAATTGCCTACAAGATGGCGAACTAGGGAGTTTTGGCAGTGAGTCATTTCCTTGTTCAATAAAAATGTGTGTGCTGAGCAACGAGGCAACTGCTTTGTGCCACTTTAGCAATAACTACTAAATTATTGAGCGGCGCCTCCTAAGGCAGCTGAAGTTCAACAATACGGGCCACAGAAAATACTCTGACTGAAGTGCCAAAATGATGAAGTCTCCAATAGAATCCAAACTGATGCCAACGACATAGTGCCCTACTGCACTTAGCACATCAACACATCCTCAAAACACCATCAAAAAAGGAACACAGTAGAAAATAATGACCACTTCAGTATGTCGTTGGAAGGCTCCAATTTTTAGCCCAGACAGTTTCATGACTTTTGCGATGATTACTTTTTATGCCTTTAAAATATAATTACTGTCATTTCATATGATGAGAATAAGGTCTTACTTTAACAAAGGATTTATGACACACTGAACATTTTTTCAACTTTTTTTCTGGGGGGCATAATGATTTGAATGAGGTTATTATAACTGGTTACACACGTAAAAACAATGTTAAATCTAGGCTGGTCCCAGATCTGTTTGTGCTGTCTTGCCAACTCATATGGACTTTGTCATGCCAAACAATGACCATAGGAGTTGGCAAGACAGCACAAACAGATCTGGGACCAGGCTATGTTAACTCTGCTTTAAGTGAGGGACAAACAGACAGATGTTCTTACAGTTGTGGTGTACTGAATGTCCCTCCAAATGTCTGTCTCCCTGGAGAGGTCTGACGTCTCAACGAGGTTATCCACCACCACCTCCCCAATCATATCGTGTCTGGAGAACCTGTCAAAGTCAAACACACTCATGTGGAGCTTCCTAACAGCCAACTCATCATAAGGCACGGGGAACTGGAAGGACTCGTCGAACGTGGGGTTAAGCGTCTTCCGGTGGACTCGCGTCTGGAACTTCTTGCGATCAGGGAGAAGATAGATTTTGACGTAGGGGTCGGAGCTGCCGCACAGGTCCTTGGCGGGCAGGTCGAAGGCCTTGAGGATGTTGACCAGGAGGGCCTCGTTTTCATAATCGTACTTCAGGGAGAAGTTGATCTTCCCACAGTTCTTGGCATTGCTGTTCTTGGCTGACTCATCAGTGTCCAGGGTCTTCTGTCTGTAGAGCTCAGGTTTGATGCGTCCAATGCTGGTGGGCTGCTCGTCCTCGTCCAAATAGTCGTTGCCAAGGTCCAGGCTGATCGACTGCATCTGTCTGGGCAGGTGCCTTTTGAATGAGCTGTGCCTGCAGAGACAGAGGAGAGAGAGAGGGAAAAATATGAGAACCTTATAAAACCATGCAGTCGGTACTAGCAAAGGGCAGTGTATACAGTGGGGGAAAAAAATATTTAGTCAGCCACCAATTGTGCAAGTTCTCCCACTTAAAAAGATGAGAGAGGCCTGTAATTTTCATCATAGGTACACATCAACTATGACAGACAAATTGAGAAAAAAAAATCCAGAAAATCACATTGTAGGATTTTTTATGAATTTATTTGCAAATTATGGTGGAAAATAAGTATTTGGTCACCTACAAACAAGCAAGATTTCTGTCTCTCACAGACCTGTAATTTCTTCTTTAAGAGGCTCCTCTGTCCTCCACTCGTTACCTGTATTAATGGCACCTGTTTTAACTTGTTATCAGTATAAAAGACACCTGTCCACAACCTCAAACAGTCACACTCCAAACTCCACTATGGCCAAGACCAAAGAGCTGTCAAAGGACACCAGAAACAAAATTGTAGACCTGCACCAGCCTGGGAAGACTGAATCTGCAATAGGTAAGCAGCTTGGTTTGAAGAAATCAACTGTGGGAGCAATTATTAGGAAATGGTAGACATACAAGACCACTGATAATCTCCCTCGATCTGGGGCTCCACGCAAGGGCTGTTTTTCTGCAAAGGGACCAGGTCGACTGATCCGTGTAAAGGAAAGAATGAATGGGGCCATGTATCGTGAGATTTTGAGTGAAAACCTCCTTCCATCAGCAAGGGCATTGAAGATGAAACGTGGCTGGGTCTTTCAGCATGACAATGATCCTAAACACACCGCCCGGGCAACGAAGGAGTGGCTTCGTAAGAAGCATTTCAAGGTCCTGGAGTGGCCTAGCCAGTCTCCAGATCTCAACCCCATAGAAAATCTTTGGAGGGAGTTGAAAGTCTGTGTTGACAGCCGCAAAACATCACTGCTCTAGAGGAGATCTGCATGGAGGAATGGGCCAAAATACCAGCAACAGTGTGTGAAAACCTTGTGAAGACTTACAGAAAACGTTTGACCTGTGTCATTGCCAACTAAGGGTATATAACAAAGTATTGAGAAACTTTTGTTATTGACCAAATACTTATTTTCCACCATAATTTGCAAATAAAATCATTAAAAATCCTACAATGTGATTTTCTGGATTTTTTCCCTCATTTTGTCTGTCATAGTTGACGTGTACCTATGATGAAAATTACAGGCCTCTCTCATCTTTTTAAGTGGGAGAACTTGCACAATTGGTGGCTGACTAAATACTTTTTTTCCCCCACTGCACAAAGGCAGAGACAGAGGAGAAGAGGGAGAAATATACACAGTTTCATTACGATATCTGGAGAAGTCAGACGATGTCTGTTTGTAGAATTGTGCTTGATTGCCCAGCAGTTGAATTCAATCCCAAGTGGTTTTGAATCTTAATAGTGTTTCTGCAACCTAGAACCGTATGGTCCTCGATTCAATTTATTTTAGTAGTACAAATAGTCCTCATCTTAGGGTCTGTTATTCAATACGGGTATGGGGTCTTTCAAGACAACGGAACATAAATATGATGTTATTGAAAAACAATTTGAGGTACATCCAATAATCAGACCCCCCATTGGAGTTGTGACTCTGTGGAATAATAGCTGTGGGATTGTTTTACTGGTGTTTTTCCCCCCACTTTTAAGTGTATTCCATTACTTCTCATGAAGTGGTCTGGAGATATGAATTACCTTATTTTAAATGAACAGCACCAAATGGCTCACAGGCAGAAAGTATATGGGCTTGGGAGGACCAAAACAAAATGAAACTTAATTGCCTTTTTGCACTGTGATAATCATGCAGAAACTGTATTTTTAAATATCTGTGGAATAACAAATTGGATTCAGATAAAAAAATGAATTACTAATTTTCTTAGCGCAGTTATTAGGAGATTTGTGAGGTCCCTATGAGGATTCTTTATAACTGACTATTGATATTTCTGCTGACTACCAGACCCACTCAGTTTTCTGTTTGTATGTTAGCGTGTCTGTGTGTGTGTGTGTGTGTGTGTGTGTGTGTGTGTGTGTGTGATTGTTTGTGTGTGTGTGTATGAGTGTGTGAGTGTGTGTGTGAGTGTGTGTGTGAGTGTTTGTGTGTGCGGCTGTGGAATACTCAAGTGGATTCAGGTAGATTAAAAGTAAATGTTCTATCTTTGTTGCCATTGTGTGAATATTTGGCCTGTACTGTCTCTGTGTAAATGTCAGGTTCCTATGAGGGTTGCCAATTCCTTTATAACTGACAATTGATATTTCTGCTAGCTAACAGAGCCATTCAGTTTTCTGACCATGCCACTGTGTGTGTGTGTTCGTGTCTATGGCATGTGTGTGTGCTGACCTGGTGGAGGAAGCAGGCTCAGTGGCCTGCCGCTGCATGCGCTGAGTACGCCTCATAAAATGCTCCCTCATTGAGAGCTGCACCTCCGCAGGGATGTCAGGTGACGTGTGGCTTATCTTCACAGCAGCCTCCAGGAAACCCATGGAACCCATCGGGTCCTTCACCTTCTCCGTTGCCATGGTGACCGGTGACTTCTGCTGGTTGGGGCTTGGGAGGAACTGGTGCTGGTGGTGGGGCTGAGGAGGCTGGATGTGGAGGTGGAAGGGGGGGCAGTCGTCTGGGGGACCGCAGGCCGGGGTCAGGGCTGCAGAGCTGGAGGAAAGGGCCGCTGCCGCCTTGTTCCGCCAGTAAGGCACCCAGCACAGCTTCCAGGAGGCGAAGGCACAGAGAGTCAACAGGAAAAGGCCGCACACCACATACACGCAGAGGAGGAGGCCAAAAGTGACATCTGGAGCACACCCGCAGGGACCATCACACAGTATGTACAAACAGATGGTGAGAAGAGAATCAGAATCAATTAGATTGAAATACAAAATATGGAACAGTAGATTAGTATGGCACAGTGCTGCATCACATTAACACAGTAGATTGGTATTGCTGTATCAGTGGCAATGAAACACTGACGGCCAGAAAGGTGGACAGCCAAATATTTACTGTCCAACCTGTTTTCGGAAGATTAATGATCATATTATTAACATTTTAGTCATTTAGCAGACGCTCTTATCCAGAGCGACTTACAGTTAGTGAGTGCATACATTATTTTTTTACGTTTTCATACCCCCCGTGGGAATCGAACCCACAATCCTGGCGTTGCAAACACCATGCTTTACCAACTGAGCTACATCCCTGCCGGCCATTCCCTCCCCTACCCTGGACGACGCTGGGCCAATTGTGCGTCGCCCCATGGGTCTCCCGGTCGCGGCCGGCTATGACAGAGCCTGGATTATATATTTGTCTTCATTGATGTATGGATGTGTGTGCTGAATACATTACATTTACATTTTAGTCATTTAGCAGACGCTCTTATAAAAGCTCATCCTTAGAAATGGACTCCGCATGAGGGGAAAAAGCGCCACTGTCCACCCCCAGCACCTTTGTTATTGTTTTTGTTTTGTGAACGAAACAGAGGTGAGGTGTGTCGAGCAGTGTGGTCAAAAAAATTGCAGTACATATTCTGCTGTTCTATCACGTGTGTAATGATGTCAGAGGGGGAAAAACTGTGTTCGTTGTTTGCTGTAACTTCTTTGTTGTTGTAATATCCCAAACGGATGTTGCTGATTCACCATTAAGGATTCCAGCTTTAAAGCAGTAAAAAGATATGTAACACACACACCAGCGCGCACACACACACAGACACACACACACACACACACACACAAATAGTTGTTATCGCAGTAGCACACACTTTGTTAGACTTGCAACTAGGAGTTAAAAAGTAATTACAGTTAACTCTGATAAATTATAAATATGCATATCATCTATTTCAATAGCAACAAAGACTCTTGGGATAACTGCCGCAGTGTCAAAAGCTCTCTCTGGAGATAGTTGCATCAATGAATGGGGTGTGTTTCTAGCCTGTCTGTATGTGTGTGGGTGTTAAGATGAGAGGGGTGTGGAGTGGGCTTGGAACAGCCCAAGTCATTTATTTTTCAATATTATGAATATGCTTTCTGGAAGAACAAATGGGATCCAAAGACCTGGAAAACCACCGAGAATGCTGACAGGCAGCACCAAACAAACATTAATATGAATTGAAAAGGTATAAAAAAAAACACCACATTGTTGGCTTCACCCAGTGTTATACAGTAAATATATTCTTGATGCAACGTAATTATCTATCTCCACCTGATACTTGCCAACGTTTCCATACTTCCACAGTGGAAAATTGACTTTTATTTATTTGGTTATGCTGCAGCATTCGTTCTTTGCCGCTGCAGTCCTGATTACTCTGATTTATCTGCAATAATTCACACTGAACAGTCCATGAGCATCTTCAGGCTTGCTAAGTGTATTCTGACTCCAATCTCAACATAATTCCCAACTGTTAGATAGATAAGACGACCTGCTCCGAGGCAGATTCAATTTGTTCCTTTTAGAAATGTAGCTGGCTCAACTGTTTCTCAGTTTAATGGACAAATATGAGTATATGTTAAACAATATTACTGCAGAATATTTGTTTGTTCAACAATTACATTATAGCCTATGATAGAATATTTAAACAGGAAGATATGTAAGTGGTTCAAATGAAACATAGATGGAATATCAGCATGGATTCTTCTTTTTCTACATTTGATCCTTTCAGAATCCTTTCACACTCTACATCAAATTCACTCTAAGACAGTGATATTGTAGTATTATTAGATATAATGACGATGTCTTTATGCATGCATTACATTTTCTAGAGTACAGCTGTAACTTTCAAATGTCCTCAGATAAAAACTGATCATTTTTACTCAAATGAAAACTCTCATGTTCAGAACTATCCATCAAATCATTTTTTAAATTGGGTGTCCAGTACGGAGCGCTTTGGGCTTATCCAAGATGGAGACCGGATTTCCAAGACTGGGGGAATTGTGCCTCTGCTCCGAGGGGATTTCAACATTATCCCCGGCCATGACTTCTCCTTGTCAACTACCATTCCTCACAGTTCTGCACAAAGGACAGTGTTGACCAACCTATCACTGGCACATTTTTCATTTACTGTAATGAAAAATGAGAAGATACAGTATAATATGCCATTTAGCAGACGCTTTTATCCAAAGCAACTTACAGTCATGCGTGCATAAATTTTTTTGTGTATGGGTGGTCCCGGGGATCGAACCCACTACCCTGGCGTTACAAGCGTCATGCTCTACCAGCTGAGCTACAGAAGACCACGTAGATTGATGGTTTATGTAGGCTATCTGAAGTGAGCATAAGAGCATAGAATGGATATTTTATGTCGCTGAAATGGTCTATGATAGCTCAGAAGAATTTTCCCAAGATGTGTAACCACCGATAACGTTTAACACATTACCAATTGGTTGTTAAAGGGATACTACAGGATTTTGGCAATCCTTTATCTACTTCCCCAGACTCATATGAACTTATGGATACCATTTTTATGTCTATGTGTCCAGTATGAAGGAAGTTAGAGGTAGTTTCGCGAGCCAATGCTAGCATGCTAGCAGAGACCCATAGTCTTCCAGTCATTGTGCTGACACTAGTTAGTATCCCTTTAATTATCCTAAGCACATATTCATTTCCCAATATGACAGCATAACCATACATTGAATCATTGGAACATGGAACCAAATCTTGCTTGCACTGGTAGTCTGTCACAAGAGACTTCCTCACATTAGATCGTTGACATACAGTTATCAGAGCTCTATTTGCTCTACATCTAGTGCTGTCCACACTAGAGACAGTGGGCAGTGAAGTTCTATTTGCTCTCTGTGTGATGCAATGTACACACTAGACAGTGCTGCAGCTGTAGATATGGGGCGGTGGGGCCAAGGCCCCTTGGGGGCTGTTCATAGACAGACAGACAGACAGACAGACTGGTGGTGACAGACAGACAGACAGACAGACAGACAAACAGGCAGTGGCTGCATCCCAAATGGCATCCTATTCCCAATACAGTGCAATACTTTTAACCAGACCTATGGACTCTGGTCAAAAGTAGGACACTATATAGGGATTAGGGCGCCATTTTGGGAGGTCCACAGAGTATTGGTGTCAGGGGCTGATGTGGATGCGGTGTTGGAGTCAGGCGCAGGACACAGAAGCTTAGTTGATCCGACTTTAATAGTCACAGGAGCAAAATACAAATCCAACGGGCCTCAACAAACAGGAGGCGAGCGAATACGCAAAACAGTGTGTAAAGTGCGAAAAGCACTAACAACAAGAAAACAAATAACCTACACCAACGGACAGGCGTACAACAACACACAACTACAAACAAAACCAAAGGAAACTTATAGGTGACATAATCAATACGAGATATGGAACAGGTGCACTAATCAGACAAGACCAAACAAACATAGATAACATCAAACGGTAGCAGCTAGTACTCCGGGGACGACGAACGCCGAAGCCTGCCCGACCAAGGAGGAGGAGCAGTCTCGGCGGAATTCGTGACAATTGGTTACTCCAAGAGGGGTGCTGGGCCCAACCACACTGAGACAGACAGATAGACAGACAGACAGCGTGGGAATGGACTGACCTCAGGATTTAAAACACTATTAATGATCACATCCCCCCAAGACGAATTAGGAATTGTTCAGGACGTCTTCTCATGACAGAACCGGTCAGCTCAGGCTACTGAATCGATACTCTCAGAGGTTGATACGACTGTGTGAAGATCTCCTTCAGGTGTGGATTTAGAAAGGTGAAGAACAAAAGATTGAGGTTTGATGCAGTGATAAATGATTGACTACTGCTGTTTTAATTCATTTTCATTTTATTCATTTAGCAGACGCTCTTATCCAGAGCGACTTACAGTTAGTGAGTGCATACATTTTTCATACTGACCCCCCGTGGGAAACGAACCCACAACCCTGGCGTTGCAAGCGCCATGCTCTACCAACTGAGCTACAGGGGACTGCATAGCATCTGTGCTTTATCTCTAAGCCAGCTGGAGTACTCCCAATGGATTTGGCCCTTTTACACATTTTGAGAGAGTTTAAACGTCAATATGGTGTCTTGCCTTATTTGCTCTCTCTGGGCCAATATTTTTTGATTCATTACATTACACCATGATGTAAATGAGAAAGGTCCAACCACAGTAAATACTAATGACAGCTAGTGCAGTAGTGGTACATGTTGCTGTGAGTCGACCCTTATATTTCCACAACATCAAGCCATGTGTTTGAGCCTACAAAGGCTTTGTATCAAAAGACTGCTTGAAAGAATATGTTATGTTTCTGGATTTATAATTGAAAAAAAGGATTCATAATTTAAATGTATTCATATTGTTTTGTCTTGAAAGCTCAGAAGCTCCAACATACAATTATATCAACATCAAGCTCAACGCTGGCACCAGAATGCCCAGTAAAAAGCTATACTGTAAAGTAGCCTATTTCAATATAAGGACAATGGAAGATGAAAAGGGCTGGCTGAGAACTCAGCCAATAGAGAGCTACCAAGCTAGGCCTTGGCTGGAGCATATGCAGCCTTTCAGAATGGCCCACTAATTTAATTAAGCATTGTTTTGAAGCAGAGTCAGAGAGAAAACGGAAGCACTGGGGGTTTTCACTTCAAGTGCCTTCAAAATCGAACTGGGTTTCCATAGAAACCTAGTCATTAGACAGATGCATGCACTCTCTCTCCTGGCTGTTATGAATCGACTCACCTCCAGCAAAAACAAAAGAGCTCTTTGCACAGTGCTAATGGCACGATGCAAGAGATACCAAATACACTGCTTGCAGTGCACAACATGAGTTGTATTGTATTAGTAATGATGTATTAGAACTTGTTTTACACATGTTGCAG